TAAGCTTTGTTTCTTTTCCAATATACCATAGCTGTTGCTTTGCTTTGTCTTGCAGAAGTGACAGGGCTTTTTTTTTTTTTTTAAAGTTTATTTATTTCTTCAGAGAGAGACAGTCAGCCAGACAGAAACTTCCAAAAGGGGTCTTCATTCCACAGTCCACCCCCCCACCTCAGCCAGCCCAGATCACGCTATGCGCACATCCTCTGAATGTACAGGGAGGCCTTGGGACGCAAACCTGGGACCTTCCCATGAGGCCCAGCACTGCAGAATGCTGTGTTACTGGTGTGCCATCGTCTGGGCTCAGGCAGGGCATATTAAAGGAAGAATGAGGGAGCAGGGACAGGGAGTGGTAGGGGCTGGAGCAGAGTCAAGGAGAGAGAGTTTACAAAATGCAGGAAGTAGGGGCTGGACCATGTGAAAGCCATCTGGGCTTGTGACTCACTGGCACTTACCAGAGGTTGGCCCCTACCCTCGCACAGATACCAGGACAGGGGCCCTATCAGCAGGTGTTGGCTGGGACAAATGGCTCCTTCATTTGTCAGTCTTGAGTTTTCCCCGGGAGGAACTTCAGAGGGGTGGAGTCTCCATTCTAGGTGGCCTTGAGCTGTTAGATGCTGCTAGTGTGCCTTCAAGTCTTTTGATGAGGGGGTGGGAGCAGATGCGATGGCTTGTGTTGAGTGTCTGCAGTTTTGCAGGCCATGGGTGAGCCTTGTGGAAAAGAAGGCACCGAGGACCCTGACTAGAGTTTGGTCATAGAGAGTTTGTCCTCCCTTTTCCCCCGTCAGGATCTGTCTGAGCTGTGCCACCTGGACATCTCCTATAACTGCCTGCGTTTGGTGCCAAGAGTGGGACCCTCTGGGGCTGCTCTGGGGGTCCTGATACTGCGAGGCAATGAGCTTTGTAACCTGCATGGTAAGTAGGGGAGGTGGGGGAGTGGGAGCCTCCCAGTCAGACTGAGGTGCTCTACTTTGTCCTAGTGCCTGCAGCCTCCCCAGCACATGTAGCTGCATGCCCGCTAACACCACACACTCACCTGCACATTCACCTGTGTGCCTTTCTGCCACTCACACTGCACACCTGAGTGTCCTTCCTTCCCCTCATACTGCACACCTGCATGTTCTTCCTCCTGCTCACACCACACACTCCTGCGTGCCTTTCCTCCCGCTCACACCACACACTTACCTACCTGCCCTTCCTCCTGCCGTCTGGCCTCCACTCAGGCCTGGAGCAGCTGAGGAACCTGCGTCACCTGGATGTGGCGTACAACCTGCTGGAAGTGCACAGGGAGCTGTCTCCGCTGTGGCAGCTGGCTGAACTCCGCCAGGTGAGATGCCTCAGGGCCTGGGAGCTGCCCTGGCACCCCACCCTCCTATGCCATTCAGCCAGTGCCTTCTCCACATGGGGGGCCCGGGCCCACCTCCTTGTCCTCTTCCCCCACTTTAGCTCTACCTGGAGGGGAACCCTTTGTGGTTCCACCCTGCGCACCGAGCGGCCACCGCCCAGTACTTGTCACCACGTGTCAGGGATGCTGCTCCCAGTGTGAGTGATCAGCTGTGTCCACTCTGCTTCCCTTTTCCTTCCTGCCCATCCCCCTCCCGCACTCTGTTGACACCCCAGGTGAAGGGCTGAGGTCCTGGACATCTGCTGTTATGGTGCGGATTCCCAGGGTGCACTGGGATGGGCTCCACACAGCCCCTCTCCTCTTTTTTTTTTTTTTTTGCTATAGGGCATGTGCGCTCGCCAGAAAGACAGAGAGGGCCA